AATGTGATATTGTGTTATGGCCTAGAAAATATATATTCGGAACAACATTTACCAATATCAATGTGATATTGTGTTATGGCCTAGAAAATATATATTCGGAACAACATTTACCTTTTTTGCACGTATAATTTTTAATATTAATATTATACTCCTTTCGTCCCTTAACAATTTATTCATTTTTTCATTTTGGTTCGTCCCATAACAAAGTATCAATTTCCTTTTTAGTGATTGTATTATCTACCTAACATTACCTTTATATCATACAATACTAATAGGGTTAATTTAGTTTTTTTACCTTTATTTCTACTTTATCCGAATATAATACTAATATTTCTAAAATTCTGTGCAAAAAGCAAATCGATATATAGATATGGAACGGAGGGAGTATTGATTTGTAATTAAAAAATATATATTCCTATTAATATTGTGTAATGATATTTGTGTAACGTATTATAAATAGTAAATATATTTATTATATTTGGTAGACAGTACAATTATTAATTTAGAAAATAATACCTTATTTTGTAATAGACAAAAATAGAAAATAAAACTTTTTTTTTTATGGGAAAAATAAAACTCTTCTTATACTACAGAAAGGGGTATACACTTGAATGTGTGTGTGTGTTTTTTTTTTTTTTTTTCTTTTTTGTTTAAAAGTTATATATATACACACACAATCATACATGTAGAACAAGTTATTGAATATAATTTTTATATATAATTATATTACAAAATGAATAGTGGATGTATATATATATGGCTAGTAATGGATCTACTAATTTATCATTTTGAATCATCCATATTAAATTATCCATTATATAATTTAATAGATATGATTCTTATACAAATAACAAAATATCTTCTTATTCAAAATAACAATTAAACATATCAATACATTATATTACTTTACAATACATTTATAGTACTTTCAAAAGCATTTTTTTCGTCAAATAATATACTTTCTTCATCCACCAAAAGTATTCCTATTTTCTTTACAAAATACAAAAAATAAAATAAAAACACTTTTTACGGATTAAAAAAAAAAAAAGAAAAATACATACAAAAAAATATATAATTTTCAATAATAACGTATGTAACTAGTTAACAAAATGGCCATTAATAGTTCTTGTCGACACGAAAAACCCGGAACCCTTTTCACAAAGCGGCGCTAAGGATAGAAAAAGTGCGCGTATTCGGGCGCGACATTAATATATATACACATATGCGTGTATGTATTTATAGCGAGTCGTAACCAACTTGGTCGAGTGGGGCAACTCAAGTATGTATGTAATAAATGGAAACACATGGATGAGTTAATAGGCAATGGGCCAAATTATTGACAATTTGTGGAGTAGCAAAGATTGCAACATTTTTGTCCATGTTGATTTTGGCAAGAAAAAATAAAATTAATTATTGCAATTTTCTTGTTGGTAGTATTTATTTTGCTTTTGAATTGTTTCTCGTTATGGTTGTGTCTAGGTTCGAAGGATTTGTCCTTTTTTGAGAAAGGTTTTTTTTTTTTTTTTTTTATATCCAAGTTTTTATTGATTTAATTTGTGGCTGTTGAGAAATATTGAATTTAAGAGGGTGCTTGTTTGTTTCTTACATATATGTCGACACAAATTTATTTATTATATATATATATATGTGTGTTTGTTATTGTTTATGTCAAGTCAAGCATACGCGTTACAGGCAATACATATATGGGTTTGTTTCTTTTGCCACCATAGTTCGGATTTCTACTATTTGGATTCTACGTTTTTTTAAAAAAATATATTTTTTTCTATCACAAAATATTTTATCATATAATATTATTTTAATATCAAATTCAAATTAAAATTTTTTCAAACTTATTAAAAGAAACATTATTTACTTGGTGCTATATATGCATATATATATATATATGACAGCAGTTTCAGTGCAAATTATAAATTTATAGCACAAAGTATATACTGCATTAAAATAATATAAATACAATACATATTATAATATATGACTATTTCGTACAATACATATAAAATAGTAAAATAAACAACATATATTTAATGGAAATAATAGTATTCAAATGTATTGTAAAAATATTCACTTAGTTCGCTTAGCGTTTTATTGATGAATTTATTTTTTATTTTAAGTATGAAAAATTGTATTGATAATATAAAAAATAATATTTTATGTTGATAAATTGATTTTTGTAAATGAATAATATATATTATATATAATGTGTTAATATATGTATATATATATATATTTAAATAATGTTTATAAGAAATCGTGTAGATGAAAAATGCAATGTCAACAAAGTGAATTCAATAATTTCTTTCAAAATATTAATTATTAAGTTAAATTTTATTTTTAAAATCAAAGGATACCAAAATCATTGACTTTGGGCTTTGGCCATAAGGCAAGGGAAGATCTTCAAGTCAATTTGACACGTTATAGGGTGTGTTTGTTATGGCGATTGGATTGGATTTACACTATTCATTCAATTTTTTTTTCCCAAAAACATCAAATTAAACACCTATTTTTTATTTTTTATATTATACTAAAAATTAATTTTACATTCAAAACATCACATCAACACATATTTATATCACATCATACAACTATTCAAATTCAAAATTTTTACTATTCAAATCTCAATTCAAAATCTAAACCCCCAAACAAACATTATTAGTTGTTATTAATCCGAAACACTTTTTTGCCATTTATTTTTTAATTATAAATATGTGTAATTTATATACGAATTATTATGGAGTACTATTTATATCATTTATTTAAAATTTATATATAAAAAAAAAGTTACTTTTGTGAAGTTGTATGTGATCAAATTCTCTAGATATTAGTCATTGCATAAACTATTTTCTATTTATACACACAATTAAATATATGTATATTTTAATTTGTTAAGTGTTTGATTATATACTGAATTTATTTCTCTTGTATGTTTGAGTTAGAGAAATAGTTTTTATTTCTCTATTTTTATTTATCTCTAAAAAAATGGAGAGAAATGATATTGCAATATATATTTTTTTATTTTTATTTTTATTTTTTTTACTATTTAATTTTTATAATATTTTATATTATATTATTTCAGTTTTACAAAAATTATATTTAATTTATTATTCAATCGTATATAATTTATAATTTTTTTTAAAAAAAATTACCAGAAATATTTTTTCATAATTGTCACTCGCTAAAACTTTCTTTTGTCAGATTAATCATTTATTATTGGCCGATCCATTCATTTTTTTTTTACATTTCTCAACTAAATTCTTTATTTTACCAAATAAGAGAATTAATTATCATTCCAAACGCCCCCTTATATTATTGATCATTATATGTATATATATATATATATATATATAAAAGTTCAACTACATGAGATCTCTATTGAACTGATTACAAAACATGTTGGATGTTACGAAGACATTAACATAGCTTATAGTACTGAACTACTCCCTCCGTCCCAATATAATAGTTTTGTTTATCATTTTTGTCCGTCCTAAAAAAATAATCTTATTTCCATAAATAATCATATCACCATAAAACTATCCTTACTTTTTTATTATTATTACACAATCGTCACTACTTTTTACACTAATATACTCACAAGGGCAAAAAAAAATCATTTATCCTTACTCTTTACCAACTACCAATATAATATAAATATTCCTTAAATCTCGTGCTCAACACAATAAGACTATACTTTCATGACGGAGGAAGTATATTATATTTAAATAGTATGTAAATTAAAATTTAAAACAAAAAAATCAACTTCAAATTAAAACCAAGCAAACCCGTATATATATATATATTGTTATAAAATTCAAATTTAATAATTATTTAAATAAAAAAAAATCTAAATACTACCATCAAGATATTTGGGGTATATATATATAGAAGATAATTGTAACATAAAAAATGTGTTGTCCCAATTCGTCCAAAATCAGCAAAGCAGTTGGAAATACACACCACTTTAAATTCATAGAGATACGTATCATTCTTGACAATCTCATACACTCATATTTTCATCTCTAAACACATAAAATAAACAATACATTTCATAAAATCTCCATGATTTTCTTTTAAAATAAAAAAATAAAATAATTTCTTTGACGTGTAATCGAGGCAAAATCCTATCAACAACCAATATTTTGTGATTCTTATTGTTCTATAAAAATAAATGAAAAAAAAAATCTTTAAAAAAAAACGTAATTAATATATTAATTGTGACAGTTAGTTGTAATGGATAATGAAGATCAACGAGATAACCAAATCATGCAGGTAGAGACACGAGGGGCAAAATAGTAAAAGCATAAACTAAATAAGTGCGCTTTTAATCAAAGTCGCATCTTCTTAGGGACGCGACACGTCTCACATGCAAAAACGTGACTTCTGCACCCATGTTGGGGCCCACATTAATTAATTTATTTTTTTAATTATTAATTACTATTAATATTAATATTATTATTATTAATTGTTGACAAAAATAATCAAAGCAAAAAGTTGTTTTTTGACCGTCCGATTCGTACGACCGTTGCTGAACCTTCCTTTATTCACCACACCTTTTTGCACTGACTCAGTCAGGAAAGCTAACCACTCCCATTACACCTAAAATGACCAAAATACCCCCACATATAAAAGTTTATTGCATCTTTTATTCACCCCGATTCTATTAGTATTATAAAATACTAATAGAATCATTATTTTTCTTTTATTTATTATACATTTTAATATAATAATTAATACTCTCTTCGTCCGCCTCTAAAGTTCATATTTACTTTTGCGTCATTATATTTAATATTAAAAATATTCTTATATTTGTATAATTTTATGTAAAAATATTTTTCTATAAGACACTCATTGAAAAGTATTTTTATAATTTTTTTAATTCGTATTACATTTTAATTTAATAATTAATATTAAAAAATCATAAAAAATAAAAATAAAACTCCTAAAGCCGAAAAAAGAAAATAGTATCCAAGATCAACACACAAAAATAAAAGAATGCTTAATTACCGGAGGCAGTGAATATTAATAATTTGATACGGTCACATTATATTAAAACAAATTACTATAAAAAAAAAATTAAAAAAATTAAAAAAATAAAACAGACAAGTGAGTAGTGTTGAAGATTAGTTAACCTGTCAACGTCTCTCACTTTATAACCGCTGTGCTTACACATATATATAATACTATATTTATTTATTTATTTTACTTAAGTTTTTGTTCTTTCCTAATTTAATCCCTTCTCTTCTACCCTGTCTAAAATCCCTGCCCAATAGTTTCTGTATTTACAGAACGACCACGTAAGAAGCCAAAAATATCACTTTCACCTCACCAAACTTCATCACTTGAGTTTACAGTCTTCTATCATACGAGGATGCTCCTCGGCAGCCAATCCGCATTGTCCTTTCTCTTGCCACGGCTGCAAGATTCCGACTCGACAACGAGTCGAACGACCGACCCGCCCGGATCCCTCGTCGACGCCAGCTGTGTCTTGACCTGGTCGAAGCTCGGCGACAACACATTCTCGATCCATTCTTCTAAACTTGTCCGGTCGTGCCATAACCCGCCCAAGATCTTGTCCACGACATCGTCCTCCACTTCGATCGACAAGGTGTCGTCGACAGCCATCGAGAATCGCACTGATATCGTTTTCTTGATCTCGTTCCTAACGAACCCCGACTCGACCGGCTTGAACACTATAGATTCGTCCACGCTGCTGACGAGATCGTGCGGGACCGACGTTATCGAGAAATGCCGGTTCACGAGGCTGAGTTCGTCTTCGTGGTCGACCGTTAGATCGCTCGAGTTGTGAGACCCGTCCGTCTTGTCATCTTCGGTGTATCCCGTCGCAAGATTTAGGTCCAACGAAAGCCCCGACGACACCGGTCCGTTTCTAGCCTTCGACGGCCTATCGTCGCCGCTGTTCAACCAGCTAGCTCGCCGCTTGCCATTCTTCTCCCTCACAATCAATCCCAACTGCCAATCGCCGTTCGCGACGGCAGCGAGCTTCATCTCGTCGACAAAGTGACCGTCCCGTAACGCTTCCGGGCTCGTCGTCGACCAATCTCCGGTGATGATGAATATCGCGTTTCCGAGACCCACTTCGCGGCCGTAGAAATCGGTGAGCCTGCCTCGCTCGATTCCCGACTTTATGCTCCCGCGCACCAGCACATCCGCTTCGTCGATATCCTCTAGCATTATCACCGAAAAAGGGTTCCTTCTTACCGCCTCTGCGATTCGGTCGATCGCCGTCTTGCCTCGGAAATTCATGTCCGATTCTTCGTCGTCACGTCTCCGGCCCAAGCAAATGATCACCGGACTTGTGCCGCATATTTGCTCAGCCAGCACCGAAGCCATTTTCTTCTTCCCGACACGGTCGGGTCCGGTGAAAAGTAACCAAACATCGCCCCTCGACCCTCCGCCGCGCCGCTTCCCGCTGTCCAATCGGCAGCGCGTAATCGCCGAAGCCACCGCCGAAGCCGCCTCCGCCTGCCACCACGCCTTCTCCATGAGCCCCTTGAGGAGTTTCTTGTACGTATCGGCATCCAAAGCATTCGAGAACTTTTCGATCAGTTTCGTCTGCGGTTCGGACGAAATACATCCTAGGAAATCCTTTGCCTGATTTTCCGTAGTAGTTTTGTCGAGCACGGTTTCGGATCCTTTCATTCCGAGAACAAGATCGGTCTTCACCGGGCTTCCCGGAGGACTCCGCATTCTCTCGACCGTATTCATGTTCAATTGAAGAGCTTCTCCGAGCGGTTTCGCCGTACGTCCGCCGCTATTCATGTTCAATTGCAGAGCTTCTCCGAGTGGTTTCGAAGTCGGCATCTTAGGCCGGAAAGGCGGGTGCGAAAGCAACGCCGGATTATACAAACTCGTCATCGACAGAGATGGCGGACCGGGTCGACCCGGGCGAGTATTTTGATGGAAATTCGGGTGGAGATGTAAGCACGTGTCTCGCCATTTCTTCTGCAGCTCTTGAGTCTTCTGCTTCGAAAGGACCCCTTGATCCTTCCCCTGTCGAAAACCGAAGAAAAAAACAAAAACATCATCAGCCCTCCAATCGATTTAATCTCCCGAAAGCACGAAATCAATATGTAAACCTGCGAAGCAGCATTGGTAGTGTCGAGTTTGGCGCTTTGCAGCCACGGCGGTAACGACGTCGGTCGAGACGAGTCCTGTTTAGCGTCGGAGAACGACTTCTCTATGGCCGAGAGCTTCGCAAGTTCCTTCTGGTAATTCTCGTGGCATTGCGGGCAAAAGTTCAACGGCCTCTGAGAAGGATCCGAATTCTCGGAGAGCGACAAGACGGGAAGCGTCGACGTCACCGGCTTCAACGGATTCAAAAACGACGACTCGACCGGATTGCTCAAAAGCCTCTCGGCCCCAAGCCTGCGATAATTCGGACAAAGCAAACGGCACAAAAAGAACAGGATAAGAAAGAATCAAAATTTAAGCCCCCTTTTTATTTTTATGTGTTGTCCGAAAGGGAACCACGTCTAAAAAGGGAATAAAATACCTCTGAATAATTCCAATTCGATCATCATTCAGCACAATTCATATAACTTTTTTAGGAATTGCAGGAAAATTATGAATCTTTGATGAAAAATAATGATGCAAAATATAAATTAAAACAAATAAAGATTCGATCAGATGAATATGCAAAATTCCAATCAAAAGCATAGAATTATTTCAACTGAATTCCGACAACTGTAACCGTACCGAGGGAAAGCTCCGGCGAGCGGCGATCTCGGCGCGACCGGCAAAGCTTGGAGATCCCAATCGGCTTCCATGGTGGAATGGTAAACTTGGCATCTCAAATAAGTCTCACACGTGGCCGCGCCGATCAACCAGAGCTTATTGCCGCCATCTCCGGTGGCGCCGCCATCAAATCTAGACAATAACTTCATTACTTCGACTACAGCCGCCCTGCCCGCCTCCGAAACCACCTGCGGCTTCGGCTGCTCCACCAGCCACTTCAAATCACCCAAATCGAGAACCACGGCGCCAATCCGAATCCCATCGGCGATCGTCTCCGACAGATCGGAGATCCTAGCCGGAATCTGATTCTTGTCAGATAAATCCCCTTTATCCATGGATATGATATGAACATTCTTCAGAAGCTCAGAGCTTCCCCCCAATTCCTTGTTCTCTAATTTTCTTAAGAAATCCTTCACGACGGCGGTGGGGTCCGAATCGCCGACGAGAATTGGGTTCCGTTTCTTGGCTCTCAGCATTATCTCTAACAGCTTCTTCGATTCTTCGATCTTTGGATTATTCCCAATTTGTTGCAGGCGGGGATTTAGATAAGGGTTTCGATTGGGTAAGGGGATGGACGGAGATGGGGACGGTGCCGCCACCGTAGGCGGCGGAATTGATAATTGGCCGGAATTGGAGAGGACTCGAGGTCCAATTGAGCCCAAATTAGATCCGAAAGTGGATTGGTGATGAAGAAGGGGGTTAGGGTTAGGGTTAGGGTTAGGGTTTGAGGAGCTCAATGATTGTTCTATGGTGGCTTTGACGGCGGGGCTGGAGAAGCTCGCCTCTCTCATGACGCGGCTGACGCTTGGATCGTCGAGAATGGAGATAATCAGCTGTTCGAGCTCGACTTTGACGGCGAGGAGGGGCTGCTGCTGCTGCTCAGGGCAGCCGCGGCGCTGGTGGGCCTGGGCGCGCTTGAGGGCGGCGAGGAGGGCGTTGGAGATCGGCGGTTCCGTCGCCGGCGCGGTGGCGGATTGGGCGGTGGGGAGGCGATCCAGGGCGACGGTGAAGCAGAGCTCGAGGGCGCGGCACTGGAGGGGATGACTGGAATTAGGGTGCGACCGGATGCAGGCCTGCCGGAGAAATCCCGACGGCGAGGCAAGCAGCGTCGCCGCCACGTGCAGCGGCGTGGTCTGGCCGTGGTTGCGACGCGCCGCCTCCGCAATCGAGTGGTTCAGAACGCTCGCCGCCTCCGGCGTCAGAGTCTGCTGAATCGTACTCAGAGCAGCTCTCATATTCCTTCCCCCTAACTTCGTCTTCTCCGGCGAGACAATCGACAAATCAATAATCGACTAGTGTGGTTTTTTTCTCGAATTCCAATCGAATTCAACAACCAAAAGGGGGGAAAATCAAAATCCCCAGATCAATTTCAAAATCAAAACCCCCAATCGCTCGACAAATGCACAAAACCAAATCAACCGATCTTAGGGTTTCCAATCCCAAACCTCAAATTAGTTGCAGAGTATATGAGATCAAGAAAAAGCTGAAACAAGAAAACGAAAGATCAGACCATCTCCTTCACACAACCAACCACCCCTCAATCAATCATCTCTCTGTCTCTCTCTCTCTCTCTCAATTTTGCTTCTCACTCTAAAAACCCATCTCTCTGTTTCTCTCTCTAACCCTCAATTAACACATACACATATACAAACCCCCGTCTCTTTCCCATTGAATACACCCAAAAAATATCCCCTCCCTCCTTCCAACTCCCACATGAACACAAGAAACAAATTGTCAAAAAAGTAAGCGCTGATGCCATAAATCCATAATAAATTAATTTAATTTTCCCTAATTTTGCTTTTTCGGAAAGAAACCATAAACAATTATCAAAAGGGATATGGAAGCAAAATTAAATTGAAAATGCAAGTACATCACACAACTCACTTCCCTTATTTAAAAAAAAAAAAACAAAAATACAAAAAATAAAATTATATATTTTTCAACAGTGAAATTTAGGGGATTTACAGCATGAAAAAGTTGAAAGTTTTGTTTTTTTATTTATTTAATGAAAAGGGTGTGTCAGAAAGGATGAGAAGAGGAATTTATGGAGATTTGGGAACTTTTTTTCTGGGCTTGCAAAAATTTCTGCAATTTTTATTAATTTAAAAAATACTTCATTGGATAAGTGAAGGAGTTCTTGATTTATTATTAGTATGCCTTTACGCTATTTAATTAAAAATAGAAAGGTAAATGTGACTTTATTGGAGGTGATGAGGAGCTTCTTAGTAAATGTTACTACTACTTTATTTTTAATTTTTTTTATTTTTATTTTGTTTTTTATTTTTTAATTTTTTATTTAATGATATGTATTTTAAATTTTGAATTTTGGATTGACTCTACTTTTCATGTTGCATTTATTTTATAAATTAAATATAAGACAAAGTGCAGCCCTACATTCTTCGCGGAGAGCGTGTTGCCACGCGTTGTAAGGACGTGTTTGGCTCTGGATTTCAGATTTTTTAAGGTATGTTCGATTATTATTCCTTTCATCTTTATCTAAATTGTCCTAAAAGATTTATTTTTTAAGTGAAAAATAATGTTAATATATTTGTGAATAAATTTATGCAAAATAAAAAATAAAAAATTCCTTGGATTCAGTGAAATATAAAATATTATTTGAGTAACTATAAATAAGAATATAAAATAAATTGGTAATTGAATGGTAAATTATAAATGATAAAAAAAATGACTATTTAATTTTTTTAAAATAATAATAATAATGGTAAGTGAAGTTACTCAAATAGCCCGAATGTATAAAAATGTTAGATGTGTTTTTTTAGTGCTTTAGAAAAATTTGAAGTATTTGTTGTTAATAATCGAAAATTTAAAAGTATTATTAAAATATTTTTTTTTTGTTATTTTTTTATATATTTTGTGAAAAAATTTCTTCATCCACTTAAATTCATATTTTACTTTTTGTATTTGCTTTTTTTTTTTTTTAAGTAAATAAAACTCCCGCTACAAATTATCAATACTTTTATGAATTACGATTACATTTATTATATAAATATAGTTACATTAAACTAAAATAAAAATGCAATATATATATATATATATCTTACATGCAAAAATACTACTAAGTACTCCTTCCGTCTCATGTAATATGGGTGTATTACTGTAGACACGGGAATTTAAGTAAAGTATAATTAGTAAGTAATTAAGAAGTATATTAGGAAAAATAATTATAGATTAAGATTAAGATAAATAAATAGTTTAATTAAAATTAAGAAAATTATAAAATTTAAAATTTAAAATGCGATTAAAGTGCATAATTATATTTTCAAAAATAGAAAGGACAAGTTATGTGGGACGGAGGGAGTATCATTTAAATATTGAGTAGTATTTTTTAATTTTCACAACAAAAGTAAATATTAACATAGACAAATGGAGTATAATTTTATTAAGAATATACATGTTGAAAATGATAAAAATTAAACACACACACTACACAATATATTCAATTACCTGTATGCATAATAGTATATTTATAATTTCTGTAAAAATTAAATAATATTTTAGTACAATATTGATTTATAATTATTTTTACTATAGAAAATAAGTTGGAATAAATTGAGTATAATTTAATACTCTCTCTCTCTTCTGTCCTTAACAATCTATCTATTTTTCCATTTTCGTTTGTCATTAACAATTTATCCATTTTATTTTTTAGTAACTGTACTATCTACCTAAAATTACAAATATTCTTCCACTTTACAAAATATTACACAAATGTCATTACATTTATATCATACAATACTAATAAGGGCAATTTAGTATTTTTGTCTTTACTTCTACTGCATTCCAATATAATATAATATTTCTAAAACCCCGTGCAAAAAATAAATGGATATATAGATATAAGACGGATGGAGTAAATAGTAAACTTATGAGAACCCCTTTTAATAAATTATTTTTTAAAAAATAATATATTGGAATGTTGTTTGTTTAATAAATAAGTTAATTAATTTTCTTATCTAAGAAATTTAATAACATCAATAAGTAATTAATATTTGATGTGTTGCTACTAAATAGGATTTTAACCTCTTTAACATTTTTATGTCCACATGATTTTTGTCAATGGATTGATTTGATATGTTATTTAAATTTAAAATTTTATTAGTCACCTGAAATCAATTCAAAGTTTTTTCGATAACATTGAAATTTATGGTTGTATTCTTAATTGTTTGTTTTTGTTAATTTATATTCCTTCTTTATAATATTAAAAATACAGTTATTTTATATTTAATATTTTTATATTTTTTAAAAAAAAAAATCATTAAAAAATCACTTTAAATTTTACTTTATATTACATTAAAATTATTTTAACTTAATTATTCTCCGAACACAACCAAACAAACTCATAATAGATTTAACCGATTTTCATTTGCTATTTTTTGTCCGCTATTTAATGTGTTACAATTTTCATAATTTTTAAAATCATTTATATTCACTTTTTTTAAAAAAATAAAGGAATATATATATATATATATAAATAAAGTTTAAAACTTTAAAATTATTTTAAATTAAATATAACTGAAATTTTTGGATAATATTCTGGACATAGGAAATATTACAGCTTTTTTTTATTTATATAAGGATTTTGAAAATATTGTAATTTTTATAATAATAAAATATTAAATATCAAATGTGATATGAATAAATATCAATAAAAATATTTTGTATGCAAATATTTTTAAATGAGAAATATATATCTTTTATTTATTTTTTATTAATAAAACGCAAATTTATAAAAATATATTGATAAAGAATTTATAATAATATTTTTTTTATAAATGCATCTTTTATGATAAAAATCAAAAATTATATTGATAATATAAAAAGATAATACTTTTGTGTTTGAATATGTTTTTTAAACGAATAAAAATATATATTATATGTATTGTATTTTTTTATCATATTTTTTAAAGAAATCAAAATTACAAAATGAACAAACTTTGGCGTGTTTGTCTTTTATTTCAAATAATTATTCATTCTATTTTTAGTAGTGTAAAAGAATAATAATAATTTTTTATAAAATATTATATTATCTCTATCTATTTATATTTAACGTTACTATTTTTAACAATAAAAATATTTTTATAGTTATATAACTTTTTTTATAAATGTCGTTATATTAGTACTCCATTAGTCTCATATCTATATATCTATTTATTTTTTTCAAGGAGTTTTAAAAATATTAGTATTATATTGAGATAAAATAAAAATAAAGGTAAAAAACTAAATTAACTCTATTAGTATTTTATGATATAAAAGTAATGACATTTGTGTAATATAATGTAAATTGGAAGAGTATTTGTATTGTTAGGTAGATAGTACAATTACTAAAAAAAGAAATTGATACTTTGTTATGGGATGGACCAAAATGAAAAAAATGGATAGATTCTTAAAGGACGATGAAATATTATAAAACATCAATAAAAATAATTTTGTTATTTTTCTTTAATTTGTACTATATTTTGATATAATAATTAATATTTAAATATTAACTTAAAAAAATAAATGAATAAATTGATTGGACGGAGATAGTATAAAAATATTATTTATAAATAAAAATCAATTTCAAACATACAAAGCAAACAGGAATCTTTTTAATGAAAAGATTGTTATAAAGTGGTGAAAGGACGCGACGACACGCGCTGTGGTATAACGTGGGGGTGAGGTGAGTAGGTAATTAATTAATAATTAATTAGTTAATAATGATATCGGACATACATAACATATAATAAATGTAGTATTAATAATTAAGTGATGTTTGGCTTTAAATTAAAAACCAATTTACAACTTTTGACGCGCTAAGGCAATGGGACAAATCCACCAATAGCCGCGCCGCTGCCTCTTCCGTATCTTTAGACTCCCTTTGCATAACCATTTTTACCATTTTTTATTTTTAATTTTTTTAAAAAATAATATATTATTAATTATTGAAAATAATTATTCTTCATTTTCGTTCGTTCCAAAATAATATTATCATTTTTTAATTTAATAATTATACTACTTACCTAATAAAATAAATCTCATTCCAACTTACACTATACAGACATAGGGATGTGAATACAGGGGCTAAAGTCTAACCTGGTCTGATCTATTTAAAGCTTTTTTATTTAAATAGAACAGACTTATGCTTAAAAAAAACTTTTTAAATTAACAAGCCGGCCTATTTATTATTATTATTTTTTATTATTATATATTAAAAATAATTTTCTATCTGATAATAATATTTATTAAATAATTTTAATTATAAATTTATTATAGAAAATAGAAATTTTTAACTTATATATATTAAATAATTGTATATACTTTAAAGGCTAGACTCAGGTTTTTTTAAAAAAAAATTCAAGTTAACAGACCAAGTTTAGCTCAGATATTTTTAAAATAGGATAAACCTATTTAGCCAAAGTCAAGTCTGACCTTTGCCTATTTCCACCCCTAATTACACAAATATCATTGTTTTTATATTACATAATACTATCGGGGGTATTTTTGTATTTTTTTATTACAATTCAATATAATAAAACAAAATAAATATCACTCTTCCAATGGGACAGAGGAAGTACTCTATTTTATAAAATTTACTATTTTTAGAAAATCTATTATTTCAAACTTTAAAAATATATATATCGGATGCAAAAAGATCATTTCAGTTAAAAGTTCAAACTATTTAATGCATCTATTAATTATTTAATCGTAAATG